TGTTTCAAGTACCCATTTCAACCAATGGAAAATCTTCATTGCCATCTTCCCATAGTTCCAGAACATGGAGCTGGCAAATACTGGAATCATAATAAGAGATTCCAACTCTGTGCAAAGAATTATGTTTACATTAACTATTCCAAAGACATTATAATTAAAGCATGTATTTACAACAAAACAATTACCTTCGGCCACACATGATGCATGCCATATACACCTGTAACATAAAATGCAATAAGGATAACTATTTATGAAAAAAGAAAAGAAAAAAAAAAAACACTTCAGATCACACTAATAGAAGCACGCCACAAAAGTTCGTCGATGTAACAATGTAAAATAGACCATGAGGGATGAAAAGTGGGGCGTATAAACTTAAATTAGTTTTTGACATTTCTCACGACTACATCCAAACTTTTCACGTACAAACAAGCCGAAATCTCAAATGTTAACTAAAAATGCTAAAAAAATAACAGAAATTCGGGCATGTTTGGTTCTCTAACTGTGCCCTCTATGTCTCCCAAACGCTTTTAAAGGTTCCTGTCTCAAGCTATTCATCTTCTACACTTAATACATGAAACTGAAGAGCGGCTTCATTATCAGATCTCTAGCAAAATCATTTCACTAAAACACATTTGGCAACGAGATACAGCTCTTCCAAGATCTAACTATGCGGAAAAAATTACTTATCGATCCAATTCCTTTGTTCTTTCTCCTTGTGCTATATCTTTATCTCCTTCTGCAGCCACTAAGATTAAACTTAATTAAACAATCTCCTAAAGCTAATATCGCATCTCATTTCAATCAGAGAGGATAACTCTCCATCAATTCAGTAATTAGTTCAAAACTGCAGACAATCATCAATTAATAGACAATTTGTTCTTGGCCCCAAAACTCGAACACAATTTCTGCTAATGTTTACTGTTCTTCTCAAACCAAGGAAAGAACCGAAGGATAAAAACAATCTATAATCCGAGCAAATTAGGAAAAACTGTCGAATAATGCAATAACAAGCTACTGGAAACAGTGTACGCAATAACAACCTGATCCGTCAGCCAATCTCTAAATCATGCGAGAAATAGACACGAGAAAATGGAGATCGGAAGTAAACCTGCGACTCGGCGTCAGTTTCATCGACTTCTTCCATGGTTCTGAGCTGCAAATCTTTACGGAGAAGAAAGAGAGGGAGAGCAGTGAAAATTTCTTAAATCTCCAAATTGAAGTTTCTCGGGGATTCCCGCTTCTTTTTTGAGTCTATCTTGAGTGATGAAACACGCCGGAGGAAACAAAATCGACCAACGGCCGCATGTGCCTTCCTTTTATACTTGTACTAGTTGTTCATCCACGCGGGGCCATTTGGTTATTTAATTTTTTATTTTGAAACAATTAGTATTAATTTAAGATTATCTTGTATTGTTTTTGTTTGTAAATGCTTGTTTATTTTGGAACTTATACAACACCGTAATTTATACAAAAATTATTAGAAAAATATGTATAAGAGACATTTTTATTTAAATTAAAATATTTTTAAATAAATCCATTATTAATAACTTCAATTAAAAAATAAGTAATTTTTTTTAAAACATTATTTTAAGAGAATATCTACTTCAAACCGATCAGTTTAACTATATGTTACGTTATAATTATATTCTTTGATGATACAATAATTATCCGATAACTCATTCGGACATAAAATTCCTTTTTGTCGTCGTGCGGAAAATCCGATAACTCGTTTCGGACCCTTTCTCTCGACACGAGTCGTTTCTGCGCGTATGTGATCGAAACAACTCGTAACGAGTCGAGCCAAGACCACGTGCATCGTATTTATATGCCTATGGTAATTATAGCCAATGATGGACATGTGTCCTAATCTATGTTTCATGTGGACAACNNNNAAAAAAAAAAAAAAAAAAAAACAGTAAACAAGAGTGGAAGACCAACAATCAGAAAATAATTCCATCAAAACATATAACACTCAAGAACAATCCCTTCGAAGTTCCCATGACGCAAAGCAGTATATAATTCAAGCTCAGAAAATGAGTTTTGATTCCTAGAGAAAAAAAATAAAAATAAACAAGATGCACTGTCAAGTTTAAATCCCAGAATATAGACAAGTTTGATTTTAGTCCCAACAGGGAAACCAACTAGAGGAGTTTAGTTCTCCAATTACAGCACACAATTACGAAGGATAAAGTAGTTCTACGTTCTCAGGAATTCCACTTCACTGCCAGCTTCCCATGCATTGAGGTGCATGTTGTTATGTCTCTGTAATTTGTGGGAAATGGATACGAGGGGAGCGGGATTTTACAGAAGAAAAGTGAAGATGGAGGAGATGCAATTGAAATTGCTGAAATGGAAAGTGGGGACGAAGATAGGGCTTTGTCCGAAAATGGGAAAAGTCTTGAGGCAGCGACACGTGGAGGCCAAATGACCGTAGATCTGGAAGGCAAAGAACTGAGTCGAGCGGTACACGTGTAGACCGATCAAGAGAAGAAATGGCATCCTTTTAATGTTTTTTGTTTTATTTGCAATTTATCTTGTGTTTAATTAAGGAGAAGTTGGTAATATGTATTTTGAGTTTTTACCCAATTGAAGAATTAAGTTGGACCATGTGAGTGAATTGTTGAAAACGGAGAACATGCAGAAATGAGAATCAGTTTTGTTACGCAACAAAATTTATTCTTCTCTCTCCTCTCACACTTTCTCTCTCTATATCTATTTCTCTCTCTATATTCATCTTCATCTTCTCCCAATTTTCTTCACTACAAAAAAATATAGAAAAAATACCAAAAAATAGATAAAAATTCAACAATCCAGCTCGGGACATAACATTTGGTATACAGAGCCAACTATCCTCGGATGATGGCGGAAGGTACAAGAGGCAGAGAGCTGCAAGAATTTCAGAAAAAAATGGATCAACTATTGCAGACAGAAGTACTTAAGAGGGAAGCCTCTAAAATGAAAATGCAGGAGAAATTGGAGTCAATTAGCTCTCAAATCAAAGGTGTAGTTGAGGGTTTCAACCTGGAATTAATTGAGCAGAAATCCGAGGTAGCCAATAAGCTTGAGCACCTGACCAACACATTGGCTTCACTACAACTGCAATTTCTGAATGTGAACAAAGACAAATACAGTGAAAGAGAAGAATCCATTCTGGGAAATCCAAACCCACACCTGCAAAGAGAACAATCATTCATCAGGCAACAGAAATTTGTCAAGGTGAATCACAACAATGATCATTCGCAACATCCAGTAAACAACCATTACATGAGCCCAACTCCTAAAATTGAATTCCCCAGGTTTGATGGTGCTAACCCTAGAGCATGGATTCTAAAGTGCAATGGTTATTTCAAGCTTGTTCCCAACTTGTCATAAACACAGAAAGTCACACTACCCTCTTTACATTTGGAGAGCAAGGCTGCTATGTGGTTTCAGAACCTAAGCACTAAGCAACTTGATCTAGATTGGGACCAGATTGTTGAAGTGATTTCTGCTAGATTTGAGGAGTTGAAGGAAGTCAGGATCATTGCTGAGTTCAACAAACTCAGACACAATGGACCATATTCAGAGTATGTGGAGAAGTTTAAGGAGCTAAGGGCATGTATGCAGCTAATGAACCAAGGAGAGTTTTCAGAGGACTATTTCATAGCCAGTTTCATTATTGGGCTTAGTGAAGAATTACAATCATTTTTACACATGTTCAACCCTAAAACTTTGCAACAGACAATTGACCTAGGGCAACAACAACTGCATACCTTGGAAGCTATCACCAAAAGAATCAAAAACTCCCAAAAGCATTTTCACACAAACCCATCTTCTAACACCCAGAAACCTACCTTCAACCCCAGTCCTCTTAACAAGATACCCCAACACTCAACACAGAAACCCAACACCAAGTTACTCACCTCTTCTAAGATGGCTGCAAGGAGGGAGAGGGGATTGTGTTACAACTGTGATGAGAAATTTGTGCCAGGGCATAGATGCAAACAAAGGATAAATTACATGATAATGACAGAAGATGAGTAGTTAGCCTATATCCAATCTGAAGAGCTGGCTTCTCAAGAACCTATTAGTGACAGTGAGAAAATAGAGGAGGTGCACATATCACTGAACACTATGGTGGGTGAGGGAGGACTAACTACTCTGAGATTCAATGGGTATATTGGAGAGAAGAAGTTTCAGATCCTACTAGATACTGGCAGCACTCTGAGCTTTATCAAAGAAGCCACAGCAAGGTCATTGGGATGTTCTTTAACTCCAGTTAAGCCACTGAAGGTTAAGGTGGCTAATGGACAGAAATTATTCAGCCACTTACAAGCCAACAATCTCAGGTGGACAATGCAGGGCCATGAGATGAAACACTCACTCAGGGTGTTACAAAGTGAGGGAAGTGATATCATTTTAGGTGGAGCTTGGCTGAGGACTTGCACTCCCATTGAATTGGATTATGAATCCATGATTGTCACCATCAACTAGCAAGGAAAGAAAATACCACTACAAGCCTTGAACTCAGAGACCAACTACCAGTTAATTTCAGAACCATCACTATATTCTCTACTGCACTCTGAAGGAAAGGATCAAATAGAGGAAATGTATTTGCTAACAATGGTATCACATGGCAGTCCTGGAAATGAGCTGGTAGCACCCATTTTGGAGGAGTATCAGGATATTTTCCAAGAACCTAAAGGGCTTCCACCCAAAAGGGACATTGAGCATCACATAACTCTGAAAACAGGGAGTTTACCAAGGCAGCAGTATCCCTATAGGGTGTCACATGATCAAAAGAATACCATAGAGAAAATTGTACAGAAAATGCTGAAAACAGGAATTATACAAAACAACAAGTCACCTTTTGCTGCTCCAGTCTTACTTGTAAAGAAGAAGGACTCAACTTGGAGACTTTGTGTGGACTACATGTATCTAAACACTCTCACAATCAAACATGAGTTTCATATTCCTGTAATTGAGGAGTTGTTGGATGAGCTGCAAGGGGCAACATGTTTCTCTAAAATTGATCTAAGGTCTGGGTACTTCCAGATATTGATGAATGAGGAACATAGATACCTCACTGCTTTCAAAACCCACAGCGGGCACTATGAGTTCCTAGTTATGCCCTTTGGGCTTTGTAATGCCCCAGCTACATTTCAATCCCTAATGAACCAGGTTTTTGAGAAATGTTTGAGGATGTTTGTTTTGGTGTTTTTTGATGATATTCTGATCTATAGCAAGACATGGAGTGAACATTGTGATCATCTCAGAATTGTCTTGCAAATTTTAAGGGAGAACACCTTGTATGCTAAACAGAGCAAACGTCAATTTGGGGACACCAAGGTTGAATACCTAGGGCATATCATTTCAGCTGATGGGGTGGCTCCAATACGCAATTTGAATTATATATATATAAGCACTTAACATATAACTTCAATAAATCTTGACTTTCTGAAATTTACGAATTTCACTTTAAAGTCGAGCAGTGAAATCATCTTAATATTATCAAAAAAAATGATCGGGGCGTTACAACCTATCCTCCTTAAAATATTTTCGTCCTCAGAATACAAAACTAAGGTACTAGGTCAGAACTCATACTACATAACTATATACAATGGTACTAAAATAAAAATACATATATACATTTGAACATCTCAAAACTCAAAGTCTAGATATCGAGCTCTGATCTCGGCCTTCTCTCCCAAATGGCCTCCCACTCGTGGTGACTCCAGCAAACTTTGACGAGCTCTATATCTTTGTTTCTCAGTCGCCAAACATTTCGGTCCAGCACTGCCACTGACTTCTCATCAGACGTCAGGTTCTACCCGACTTCTAGCTCGCCAAAGTTAACTACATGGCTCGGGTCGAACACATACTTTCAAACTTCACAAATTTTTCTCATAAGATTGGTCAAAGTAAGGCCAATCCTACAAAACTACTCAATAAATCTATGATAATCCTATGCTAAACCTAGAGAACTACGAATCTTTATCTGATTATAATCTGCTGCCTTTTGTACTTCTCTTTCTTTAAATTCTCCCGACGTAACTATAGTTGAGAAATCATGAAGAACTAATGTGTAATTAAATACTAAATAATGAAAGTTGAAAGAGTGGTTTAATTTTAAAATTGCGGGGCTATTTATCATGATTATCACAT